ATGATGGTCTTGAGTCTCGTTTTTACATACAATGAAATTGTACTCCTTGGTTCCTTGGCCATGATGCATTGGAAAATGCTTGGTTGGTGGTTTTGGATCCAAGTGTGCCACTCCTTTGAGGATTTGAGATGATAAGGAGGAGCACAGTACAAATAAACCTCTGGAAAAACCTTCCTTTTGTTCTGTTTGTGCTCTGTTGCAGTGTGGTGACTCAGAGCATCAGTGGCCGGCAGTGCCTCATCAGTGGCCTGCAGTGCCCCATCCATGGCTGGCAGTGCCTCATTTATGGCCGGAAAGGCATCCTTTTGGCCTGCAGAGGGCCAGCAGCAACCATTCATGGCCGGCAGGCCACTGGTGCAATCCTCAACAAGTATTTGGTAAGGTGGAGCAAAAAGATTCTGGAGTATGGTCAACCCTGCAAACAGAGCCTCTCAATAGCAAGATGGTGGCTTTTCGGGGCGAAAACCGAGTGCATGCATCTTCCACTTCCCGAGGCGGAGCTGTGGCAGCACAGTTTAATGCCTTGCATGTTTAATCAGTGTGCATGTGTTTTAATTAATTAGTTGCTAATTAGTTTAGTGTTGTAATAATTAGTAATTAGTTTGCTAGTTATTCATTTGATTCGTAATGATTTGTAATAATTAGTCTGATTAGCTTAATTAAATTAGTTTAATTAGTGTAGCTTGTTAGCTTATTCATTTGGACCTTCCTTCGTGGGGGTGCAATGTTGTAATAAGTGTGCGTGCATGTGTACATGTTTTCCAACCTCGCGTCTTTCTTCCTTTTATTTAATCGCTTTTGATGGTTAGATTAGGGACATTTTCAATTAGCATACCTTATACTTGCATGTTTGCATTCATTCATTTGTCTTGCATGCACCGAGGCTCGGCGCATCATTCAAACTGCATTGCAATTTCAATACTTATTTGAATACGTATTTCAAAGCGTGTTATCAAATTATATCATATGCCACATTAGTACCCGAGCCTATTAATTGCATTATTGCATTTGTTGCATTAGGCATCTTGTATAGTTAGGATCATGTATTTTTCTAACTAGTTTTTGTTTTGGCTTGGAGTACTTGGTAAGTTTTATGCTTTAGCATACTTGCACGAGTGTGTTTGCCATATTGCCATGTTTCGCATGCTTGCCATGAGGCTATGTACTTAAATGCTAAACTGCTTGAATGCCTGTGGATGAAGGCTTTGTTGTTTGAATTGGAACGATTCAACAATTGTAAGTTTTAAGCCCACTTTGTTGTGGCAAATCCGTATCTTTTAAGCCCACTTAAGGGTGGCACATTCAAACGATTTTCGAAAACAAATATGAGTTGAGTTGTTCCAATTCTTGCAATTTTAGTTTATACTTTCTTGTGTGCGTCACATAGTAAAGCTAGTTTAATAACCAGAATAAGAACACATAAGGTTTATAAAATAACATATCATGATTAGTAGAGGCCGATCCTTTGAAAGGGCGAGCGAGAGTGCTCAATTCATGACCTTCCCCCCTCGTACCCAAGTTCCCGAGCCAAGGCAACTTTGGTGATGATGGACACGTGGCCTTTGGCATGAGTTAGGATTTCCTAAATTTCTCCGAAATAAAAATATTTAGGTGGCGACTCTGTAATCTGGAAAAGCAGTCCAATTTTGGCATTATTTGATTTAAAATCGATTTTCCAAAAAGATTTGCCGGATTGGACTCTTTGGTGTTTATCAGTTTCACATTACACTTGTGAGACTACATTCAGAACCGCAGGAGTCCGAACTGTGAGGCCTTCTTTTTCCCTTTCCGAAAGGTTGGGGGGGGGGCGGAAAAAGCGAGTCCACACCGCCACAAGATAGTCTGGGGATCATTTGGTATAGTTAGCTCTACGAAAGATTCCACAGCACACATCTAGACATGCCTGAGACCACAACCCATTATGCATACGGCTTCGTCTTGTATGTCCTCGGTACTACCCTATTTGCGAACAGGGGACACGTGGCCTTTGGCACGAGTTAGGGTTTCCTAAATTTCCCCGAAATAAAAATATTTAGGTGGCGACTCTGTAATCTGGCAAAGCAGTCCAATTTTGGCATTATTTAATTTAAAATCGATTTTCCAAAAAGAATTGCCGGATTAGACTCTTTGGTGTTTATCAGTTTCACATTACACTTGTGAGACTAGATTCAGAACCGCAGGAGTCCGAACTGTGAGGCCTTCTTTTTCCCTTTCCGAAAGGTGGGGGGCGCGAAAAAAAGCGAGTCCACACCGCCACAAGATAGTCTGGGGATCATTTGGTATAGTTAGCTCTACGAAAGATTCCACAGCACACATCTAGACATGCCTGAGACCAGAACCCATTATGCATACGGCTTCGTCTTGTATGTCCTCGGTACTACCCTATTTGCGAACAGGGAGAATGCCGTGGTGTTATACTTCTTGAGCGCAGGACTAGCCACCCTATTCAACTATGCGAGCTCATTCTCCCACTGTAAGGAGAATTTGTTTAGAGGATATTAGTGGGAGGTATACTCTATCCCTTTTATTTCATCTATTCCCCGTGCTTTCTATTTTGCATGCTTTGTTTTATTCTAATCCTCGCTTTCAACCACCATCTAATGTTATTCCCTGTTCCGTGTAGATATGGTTGTATTCATATTTCCCCAATCTTACCCTAGTGCCAATAGATGAGGTTAATTAGTTAGTGCCTCGATCTTTATATTTTGACCAGGCTCTCAGGCTGTAGGACCTCCAGTCTCATAGCTTCACCCACTTTCGCTAGTACTTTGATACTGTGACTCAGCTTGGGTAAGCATTTGAAACTCACACCGATTTCAATTCATCTTATCTTCTTTCATTTCTTTATTTTGATTTCTAATTCCAAGTCATTCTCTCATGCATACAGATCGATTGGCATCATTGGGTTGCTATGCCCCAAGTTGAGAGAGACTAGTATGCTGGATCCTGGGCAGCCACTCGGATGAGGATTCTTTTTTAGGGCACCTTTAGCCGCACATGGTTCTTAAGAGAGCACTTCTTTCACCAGCTCCTAGACCAAGCGATTCTTGACATTCCATTCCCCCACCTATCAGCATGAGGACTGCAGATGTGATCACAGACATAGCTAGGCTCAAGGCCCTAATGGACGGTCAAGATGCAGATTTATTTCACGGGCCTGGAGACTACTCCGCCTTTACGCAATTCCACATCATGCCTCCTATCACTCCAAACACTGCTTGAGTATTAGGTGCTGGTGCTGCAATCGCTACCCCTGTTTCTACTGATGCCTCTGCTCCTAGAAGCATTGCTCCTATAGCTGTTATTTCACAAATTGACCCCGTTACTGGTTTTCCTGCACTACCAACCTCGATCACATATATGAGGCTGAGTGGTGCCCTTATGGAGGTTCCTCTGGAGCTTCATGAGGCACTACAACAAAAAAGGTCTATGGTGATGGAAACGCATGATGGATAAATATTTCGTTTCCAATTATACATGTTTTAGTGATGAGAATAAGATTTCAACTCCAATTGTACTATTTTTAGAAACGAAAACCAAATTTCATCACCAAATGCTTAAAATCAAAGAAAATAATAGGTGACAAAAATTTTATTCGTCACTAAATTTTATTTTTCATCACAAAATAATTTCCCGGCCTTGGAAAATTTAGCAGAAGATTTGGAGCCATTTTGGAGATGTAATTTTTCGTCACCATTGTAAAAAAATTTTAGAGAGGAAATAATTTCATCTCCAAATGTATTATTTTTAGAGAAGAAAATCAAATTTTGTCACCAAATACTTAAAATCAATAAAAAATAAAATTGAACCAAGAGATAAATATCTCTCTGTTTAGATGCATCTATATTTTACTTTCTAAATCTGTCTCTATCGCTCCCTCACCCATCCATCTCCGTCACACCGTTCGTTCATCTTTGTCGCACCGGCTAACCCACACGTCGCCGGCCAGCGCTCGTTACAACAGATATTTCTCTCTCTCTCTCTCTCTCTGTTTTCACCTCACTCTCTCTCTCTGCCCTCTTCTCGCTTTTCTGAGCTCCCTTTCTCCTCTTCTCACTTTTCCAACCTCCGTCTCACCTCTTCTCTATCTCGCTATCACCCTTCTCGTCTCTTACTTTCGTAACTCATTTTTCCCCAATTTGAACCCTATTTTGTTGGATGCTTCGCTGGCTGCGACCTCCTCACTTAGTTTTTCTCTAACCCTAACGTGGTTTCTTACTTGGTTTTTCACTAAATAATGGTCATGTAGGATTGTCTGTTGCTTTAAACTCAGGTTTTGTGATTTCTTGTATTCTCAACCTCTAGATGTTTTGTTGTTCTACATTATATGTTCAGATTTTTAGCTTATGTTTGTGTAAAAATCATATCGTGAGGATTTTTTCCTCTTCTTGTTCTCTTGTTCATTTTTATTGTTGAGTTACATAATTTTTATTGAAGGATTGGTGATTTGATATTTCATAATGAAGTTCACAAGATAGTTGCAGTATCAGTAATGGTTTTTTGTTCAATGATCTATACTTGTGGAATGCTGCCCATTTGTTGCCTGATAACAAATAGTGACGGGGAATTTCAATTAGATTAATATGTTTGTGAGGAAGCTTTCCGAGAACATCTACTTCAGTTCCATTCGATTATAAAAAAATACATAATTATTTAATTTTATGTATCTGATGTTCACCAACCAACCACCATCAAGTTACCACCATGGAAGTCTTGTAGCTAGTTAGAAGTCCTTTTTGTTACCATCATTGACTATTTTCATGTTACTCTAGTTATAAATGCATTCTCATCGTGCTTGTCTCCTTGTTTCTCTAGTGAGATGTTTGTGCCCACACTACAAGAAAAATGACATATTGCAATGTTTTTTTTTATGGCGTTTACGAAAACGCCATCATAGATTCATTACACACAACATTTTGAAAACGTTGTCTTTGATCTCATTTACACGACGTCGTATTTGGTCAATATATTCACACTGTCTTAAACTCCGTCTCTCACTTTCTCTGTCTTTTACTTTCTGTGTCTCTTCCACAACACAGACGCTTTCTCTCTCTCTCTCTCTCTCTCTTTTCCAAAACCCTTGATTTGAAGCTCAAACACACAGACTCTCTCTTTCGCTCGCTCGATTGTAGATTTTTCATTGTATGTTCTTTATCAATGTTGATCAAAGCTCAAACAACCTCGATTTGAAGCTCAAACACACAGGACTCAACTGCAACGATTTTCTCTAGCTGTTCTTCATCAATCATAACGATCTATGTTATTCATTGATCTTTGTTCTTCATCGATCTTGAGGCGAATCAAACTTAAACTCGATCTCTCTTGCTATTAGCTCCCATCTTGAGTTTGCAAATCGCAAATCCGAAATCGAGTTTGAATCAGATCAGATCTATCATGCTCTTTATCTCAGGTACATTTTCCAGAAAATTTAATAAATTCATGTATTGTCTTTCATATATTTTTTCTTAGATTTCATTTTCTAATAAATGAAAAAAAATATATATGGTGATTACAAACCTTCAAACAAGGTCTTTTACATTCCCAGTGGAGTATGAATATGATCCCTGTAAAATTTAAATAATCAACACGAAGGGTTAAGATAGGATGACTAAAATTTGTGAAAGTCCCCTATAAATCTCCCTAATGAACTCTCAGCTCTAAAGATAGAATATACATAGGTGTATTATTTTGTAGATGCATAAACACACAAGTAATTATATAATACATGATGAAGAGCAAACATTTTCATCTATATCTTGTTTAGGAGCAGAAATTAGAATGCGATTTTAGATTAATTTTGTTTACATAAAAATTGTTTATAAAATAAGATTATTTAAGAATTTTAACAAGGTTCTCTCTCAAGCCAACGGTGCAGTAGTAAGAACTTGATGTGCAACTCATGACGTCGGGATTTCCAATCCCAACTCCCCATCTCCCCCTAGGTAAGATGATAATTGTTATCCAGAAAAAAAAAAAAAAAAAAAACAGAACATAAAAATATATCCATGGAAGAATGCAAATTAGGTAAGTTCTAAGATAAGCTAACAATTGGCACATACAAAAAACAAAAATTATAAAGTGCTATTATATCCATGATCATAATTGATAGGGACGGTTTTACCTATCCACCGATATTCTCCTGAGGCTTCAGAGAATCCTAATTTGGTTAGATATTAATTAGTTTGCACAAGAAATTTAGCTTCAATTATTTGTTTTTTAGTGCTTTGAAATGTAGCGTCTATTGAGAGACAGAAATTTAGCTTCATAGTGTTTCATGTTGAAAAATGCATGCTGAATGAGGTAGCTATCACAAATCATATTAGTGTAGCTCTTATTTTTATTAATTTGAATATGTAATTTTGTTGTGAATTGAACTATAAATATTTCCGAATGGAAACAGAAAGATACTCATCAGTTGTCTACTGTGTTTGCTTTGTACTTTAGAATTGTCCACAAATGGAGTGGGATGAACAGTCTACCAACACGTGGTGATAAACTGAGATATTTGACAACATAAAATTATTTGTCGCATCACTACCCATGTGGATAAGGGGGAAAAGGTATAAATCTACTAACAAGGTTTTCAAATTTGTCATCGGCCTTCAAGTAATGGTCCAATAATATTGAAACTCCTCAAAATCCTGCAATGCAATCAAATACATACCAGTTCAAGTCAACAAGAAGAGATTGGTATATTGTTCAAAAGAGAGTTCTAAAGAAGGAATCAACTTACAGTACTTCAAGGTTTGTCAAATTATTAAGGGGTGGAAAAGTTGATTGGGTTTACCAGTGCTCTCGAAAGCTCCCCAGTAAAATTGTTTGAGGTAAAAAATCTTCCATTTTAATAGTATCACCCATGTCAATAATTCATTGAAATGAGATTGGGGAAGTTACTTCCTATGTTGAGAAGCTTGGTTCTATCATCTTTTTGCCTTATCTTATTACTTATTTAAATTAAGTATACTATTGTGTAGCTCGACTTTTCGTGCTCCTTTCGGATATGACTAGCGCTACAGTTTGGACTCCCATGGTTCTGAATCTAATCTCACGAGTGCAATGTGAAATAGATAAACACAAAAGAGTCCAAATCTAACAATTCTTTTGGAAAATCAATTTTGAATCAAAATGCCAAAAATGAACTAGTTTACCAGATAAAGAGTTGCCACCTAAATATGTTTGGGAAATTTAGAAAACCCATGACTCGTGCCAAAGGCCACTTATCTATCATCACCAAGATTATCTCGGCTTGGGAACTTAGGTACGAGAAGGGAAGGTCATGAATTGAGCACCCCACTCGTCCGATCAAAGATCGGCCTCCACTAATCATGATGTGATTCTTATTTACATTATATGCTCTTGTTCCGATTATTAGACTAACTTACTATGTGATGCGCACACAAGTATAGACTAATTTGCAAAAATTGGAACATTTGGCGCCGTTTGGTAACACTTACGTTTTCAGTTTTCTGTTTATATTTACAAAAATTTAAAAAACTCAAATAAAAACTTGTTTGGTAAAATTTTTGATTTATAAATCAGTGGTCTCAGTTTATAAATTTGGCCAAAAAATGAAAACACAAAAAATGTGTTTCCGTTTTGAGTTTTCAGTTTTTTTTTTTTTTACCACCCAACACTAGCCACCAACCGCCACCATTTTCCACCACCGTCTTCCGCCACCACCACCCACTTCCGCCACCCACCCTCCACCACCACTTTCCGCTGCCACCATCCGCCACCACTCGTCACCACCCACCTCCCGCTACTCACCGCCACTCGCCATTTCTCACTCTTTTAGTTTATATTTTTTAAAATTTTCAAACATTTTGTCAAAATCCAACGCGTTTGTAGTTTATGTTTTTCTAAAAATAAACAAAAATCAATTTATAAAATTTTTGTAAACATAAACTAAAAACGTAAACGTTACCAAACGCTACCGTATGGTTTGTTCAATTTTAATTTTAAAATTAATCTTTTTAAAAAAATACAATTTAGTTTGATAAATTAATTTGTTTGACGAATTATGTTTATTTTATTATATTTTCTATTTATAAAATAAATTTTTTTTTAGCACAAACTTACCCCTTCAACTTTGCACGACTACGGGACTAGAAGACGGCGGTGTCCTGCGAGGTTGATTGTTTTCTTTGTTATAATGAAAGAGGAATTAATGAACCCTTACACCAGATTTGGACTCTTTGGTTCAGATTAAGAACCGTGACACAAGTCGAGTCCGAACTGTAGCAGCGACTTCCCCCCCCCCCCCCCCCCCCCCCTGCCACCACCATCCACCACCTGCCACCACCAGCCACCCACCACCCACCCACCACTACCACCCACCCGTCACCACCAGCTACCCACCACCCACCACCACCAGCTATCCACCACCCACCGGCACCACTTTCCACCACCATCTTCCGCAGCCACTTGCCACCACTTGCCATTTCTCACTCTTTTTATATTTTAATTTTTTTTAAAACATTTTGTTAATTACCAAACGCGTTTGTAATTTATGTTTTTCTAAAAATAAACAAAAACCAGTTTATAAAATTTTTGTAAATATAAACTGAAAACGTAAACGTTACCAAACACACCAGATTTATGTTTGTTTTTCAAAATTGTTTGAATATGTACTGTAGCTCACCTTTTTTGCGTTCCCTCTCGAAAGTTTGAAAATAAGCCCTACAGTTCGGATTCCAGCGATTCTGAATCTAATCTCACAAGTACAATGTGAAATTGATAAACACCAAAGAGTCAAAATCTAAAAAATCTTTTGAAAAATCGATTTTGAATTAAAAATGCCAAAATTGGACTATTTTGCCAAATACAGAGTCTCTACCTAAATATTTTATTTTGGAGAAATTTAGGAAACCCATGACTCGTGTCAAAGGCCACGTGTCCGTCATCACCAAAGTTGCCTCGGCTCGGGACCTTAGGTACGAGAGGGGAAGGTCATGAATTGAGCACCCGCACTCAGCCGATCAAAGATCGGCCTCTACTAATCATGATATCATTTTTATCAACATTATGTGCTCTTGTTTTGGTTATTAGGCTAACATTACTATGTGATGTGCATAAGAAAGTATAGACTAGTTTGCCCGAATTGGAACAACTCAATTTTATGTTTGTTTTGCGAAAAAGGTTTGATTTTGCCACCTCAAGTGGGCTTTAAAGTTTGCGAATTTGCCACTCAACAAAGTGGGATTAAAACATACATTTATTGAATCGTTCCAATTCAAGCAACAAGCCTTCATCCACAGGCACTCAAGCAGTTTAACAAGTAAGCATTTAGCCTCATGGCAAGAATGCTAATCATGACAACATTCACACACATGCAAGTATGCTAAAGTGTTAAAAACTCACCTAGTACTCCAAGCTAAAATAAACAAAAGAGTTAGAAAAATATGCATGATTCCTAACTATACAAAATGTCTAATGCAACACATGCCATATGCAATTACTAGGCTCGGCTATTAATGTGGCATATAAATTAATTCAAGACATGCGGTCTAAGCATGTATTCAAAGAAGTATTGAAATGAAAATGCAGTTTGAATGATGCGCCGAGCCTAGGTGTATGCAATACGAAATGAATGGACGTAAGCATAAGGTATGCTAATTGAAACATATCCTTAATCTAACCATCAAAAGGGGGTAAATAAAAGGGAGAAGACATGGGGTTGGAAGACATACACATTATTACAACATTTTGCAATCACGAAGGAGAATTCGAATGAATAACTAAGCTAAGCTAATTAAGCTAATTATTACAAACCAAAATGAACTAATTAGCTAACTAACTAATTAAATATTTTCAAACCAATTGCAACTAATAATTAAAATAAGCAACTAAGCTAAGCTAATTAGCTACTCTGCCTCGGGAAACGAAGGATGTGTATGTGCATGCTCGATCTCCACCCGAAAAGACCACCGTTTGGCTCCCGAAAGCCTCTATTTGCACAATTGAACACTTCCAAAACAATTTTACTCCACCTTACCAACACTGTTGAGATTTGCATCAGTGGCCAGCCGGCCACTGGTGAAGATGGCCGGCCATTTGTCGGCCATGAAAGTGGCCTGCCGGCCATGGATAGTGGTCTGTCGGCCACCTGTCGGCCATGGAAAGTGGCCTGTCGGCCACTGATGCACTGCTTCATTTTGCTGCAACAGAGGACAAATAGAGCAAAAAGAAGGTATTCTCACAGATTGTTTGCATAACTCAAATCTAAGGAGTTGTGAACTTAAGCCGCAAACCACAAACTTAAGCAATTTCATTGCATGATGGCTTGTGATTCAAGAGGTGCAAGCTCAATAAATGGAAAACAAGACACAAACCTCCTCCCTTTCATGAAAGATCAAGGAAAAAAAGTAGACCTTGGAGACTTGGGACCATTTCATCACTAGCAAGTATGAAATGGTCCAAGTTTCATGTGCTCAATTAACGTCCGATTGAATACACCAAGTTATTATCTTCCTCATCTTTTAATCCCAAGTTTTAGTTACTTCTTTTACTTTACCAACCATTCTTTAATCCAATTAAGTCCATTGGATGAATTCAAGTCCTCTAATGGAAAGAGGGCTCAAAACACAAGTTGCTTTAGGTATGAAAGAAGTATCATATCGTTGGTAATGAACTCCCTAAGGGATTAAACCATTAAGTATGAAACTTCAATTCCACACTTAGGCAAACAAGTGACTTGAAACCACTTTCAAAGCAAAATTAAAAGCCAAGAAAGGAGGGAGGTTGCAGAGATGATTAGTGTTGAAATTAAGTGTGAAAAGCACCAAAAACATGGAATCAACTCAAACAAGTGGTGTCTAAAGGCCTAAAACACCAAGCTTGTGAGGACTATTACACTACAACTATGCAATATAAGACTCAAATGCAATAACCAACCCAAAATAGAGTTAAAATAGTCAAAAATAGAGCCTAAAGCATGCTAGAATAAAGCTACAACAAGCTAGAAAAATAAGCTAAAGCATGGCACCAACTACGCTAACAAACAAGACACAAAGAGGGGAGGCTACCACTTCCAAATTCGAACTTCAAAACCTGATTTTTATTACTAAAAATACTCTAAAAATCAATTTTTAAAGGCCCCCCCCCCCCAAAAAAAAAAAATGGTTTGAAAATGGGAAACAAATGTGAAGTGGCCTTACAAACAAGGAATGAAGAGGGGTGAACCACTCCTTAACCTTAAATGGCCAAAACACCAATTTCAGCCCAAAAAAATAGATTTTTTTTTACAGTTCAAAACAACCCAAAACAGTGGGAAAAAGATAGGAAAACAAGTCTGTAAAGCACGCTAATAAAGCAAGTATTATACCTCTTCAAGAGAAGAGTAACTCTAGGCCACAATTCAAGCCAAAACCAACCTCAAGAACTCCAAGAAGGTCTCAAGGAAGCTTAGCTCAAAGGTGAGAGGATTTGGTTAATGAAGTATAGGCAAGAGTGTAGTGTAAGTAGGCAAAAGTGTAGAGAATTTGTAGAGAGAGAGAAAGAGAGCAAGAGAGAGAGAGAGAGAGAGAGAGAGAGAGAGAGAATTGTAGAGAGAGGAAAATTTTTGAGTCTAAAATTTTCTAACCCCAAAACATGAGAGAGGGGGTTCCTATATATAGAAAACATGAAAATTCTACAAGGAGATCCAGCCCTCCACATGTGGACAGATGCAAGCATCTGTGCAAACAGCTTGCACAACTGGCATACAATATCTGTAGAAAACATTGGTGGTCGACCAGCCATCACTGGTGGCTGGCAGCCTCCAGAGATGGCTGGCAGGCCACCAGAGGTTGCAGGCTAGAAAGACCAAGGAATGGTCAAAAAATGAGACATAAAGGATGTAGGGTTTGAAAGGCTCAAAGTTGTGGCGTTCTGCTGAGGACATCGAGCGCTTGGTGAGCA